AGACCTGACTACCTATTTTTATTTTGTCACGAATTAGACGGTTTCTCCATTATCTCGGTTACTCTTACTGGCTTCCCATAAGTTTCTGCGCTTTTGGATGGTTTGCCAGGAATAATCGTTTTCTAACATTATTTTTGTCTCCTTTAGGTATTTGCGTTGTTTGAGCACACCTTCCTTTTCTGCATAGTCAAAAAACTTAACCACAACGGGTCGATTTTTGTTAGTTTTCCGACCCACGCGATGTGGGCGCTCTATAATTACCACCTGAATGCCAAGTTTATCTTTAAACACGCCATCAATTACTTTGTATCTTAATAAGTCGTTTGTTTCTCCTTGGACCTCTGAACAAACTTAACCTTTGTTCAGAGTCTGACTGTACGTATGGGGGCACGAGTGTGTACGACTATACGGTACGTATGGGAGTACAAGGCTGCCAAACTGCAAGCTGCAGTCTGCTTTATTCTGAAATCTTTTTTTCTTTCTTTTTTTTCCCCCTGGGGCAACGCGGAAAGGGGCGAAAGGGGGCGGGTCTCCCCTTACGAGGGATCCGCGAGCCGCACTTGGACCAGCAAAGAGCCGCATGCGGCTCGCGAGCCGCGGTTTGGCCACCCCTGGCTTAGACGCTCACTGTGACGTCCTGAATTCGATTACTAATTTTGCTTTCATCGACGAAAATAAGTCGTGCAGACTACCAACCTTGACGGTTCTGGCTGAAGGTCATCCTAACAATATCCTACGCTGCCTCGTGATAGTTGCCAAAAAATGCAGAGGGGAAGCAAATTGGCTTATACGGCCGAAGGGAGGAGTATACGTATGGTTCCTGGGCTAGGTGGTGCGATGCTCGTTATAAAAGGTGCAGCCATTAACATCCATCCATCCAGAATGCGAGGACTCCGGGCCTCCACCGTCCTTTTTACACGCATATTCACACTTGCCGTTCGCAACTGATAAGTAAGCCAGGGTTACAGCTCGTTATGTTACGGCGAGGCAAATCCTGGTCGTGACCTCACGGATGGAACCATAAGAGGGCGCCACCGAAACACCTCTACTTTGTTCTGCAGTGAGGTCAAACTCATTTCGCACGGGGCGCTGCACTGCCTTCCTCTGCCTCCCCTGTTCAGAACGAGTTTCATCGACCGTCGTCTACAGCCACGGCTACGCAATTAAAGAGCTCGAGGCACATCATTATAAACGCTGAGTCAGTGTGATTCCTAGCCTAGCAGCTCATCTGGTGCATTGCCCTAATCACTGTGTGATATTGATGGCCCTAATAATTGCTATTTATGGCTACCGCGTCGCTAATAGTACTACGCCAGCTAAAGACAATAGTGCCTTGTTCGCGGTAACTACAGGAAGCGCTCGCTGATTCACATATCTAGTGAGGGGTTTGGGATATTGACGGGCTCTAATAAACTTGTGTGACAATATTGCTGAAATCGGTATAATTGTCATTGCGGGCTTCCACTTCGACAGCCCTGTTCCATGGACTCAAATGGGACTGAGGTTGGCGCAATATGCTAACCATAGCAGGTGTTACAGCAGCGAGTTAGACAAGTCAGATGTGCAGTCGATTGTGGATTATTAGGCGATGTGGCGGCGTGTTTTTAAAATGGCACTGCAGCTTCTCCAGAAGAAGCTCCCCTTCACACACTTTCGTGGCATAATGTTTTGGCCGCTGGGTGCTGTAAACGCCTTACGTGGTCGCGAAGAGGCGGCGTTAGTTGTCCAGGCAACTTCGTGCTGTCACAGCTCCGTGCCGACGCACACATAGACGAAGTAGCTACCGCTCTCTATTCGTGGCACCACCAATAACATCACAGCGCCTTGCGGTGAAAACACGAAGCTGCGCGAATTAAACCGCAGTGAAATTTTACTGGACTCGTGGATACGTGCGCTGCATTTATTCGGGTGTCCGTACAACCTGGGGCGAATCGCAAATTACTCGTGACCCGAGAGTGTTGCTGTCACACTTCAAAATCTTTTTTTTTTTTTTTTTTTTTTTGTGTGGTTTTGTATTATGTACAACACGAGTGTGACAACATCTTTGCCAATATCGAACGCCGTCAGCTTCCACCCTGCGCAAACACAAAGGGAAATTTAGGAGGCTGAACAAGTACCGAGAATCCGAGACTGTATGCTGCAAAATTAAAAAGAAAGAAAGAAAAAAAATCTTGAAAGGAAGTTTTGAGAATCAACATCTTCTCATGTCGCGCTCTTGTACAAAAGGCCGCGTGTGAGAGGCACGTCGGCAATGTCCTCGTGTCCACAAAAAGCCGATCAACTAAAAAAAAAAAAAGCATGCGGCGAGCTATGTTTGCGAAACCCTGCGACGGCGGTTTGTTTTCTGGTTATGCGGTCCGGGGAGGCCGAAGCGGATCGGATTCTGCTCCACTGAGCGGGGAGTCGGTTGCCTTTGTCGTAGTCGCGCGTGCCGTTGTCTCTGCTAAGGAGACACGCTGCAAACCGCTCTGCCGGGAAGCAGATGTTACACCACCAGCTCTCTTCCCGGCGTGGGACAGGCAGCGCAGCTACACAACCAACCCCGAACAAGCGGCCAGAGGAGTAGACAACAGTTCGGCGTCGGCCTGCGTTGTTGTGCGCGGCGGCCGAGATAAGACACAAGGGAACTGGAAATCTGGGCCCCCTCGTTTAATTGCCAGCTGCCACCGCGCTGCCTCTCGTCGGGGCCGCGTATTAAAGAAGACCGCGTCGTTAGTTAGGTCCCGGCGACGCTAGACAGATGCGACGAGCATGGCTTCCTTTGGACCTCGCTCACAAAGGAGGGAGGGGGAGTCAGCTGCTGCCGGGGGTCCTTGCCTCTCGCTGCCGAGTGTTTCAGGGAGGCATAAAGGCCGCGGGGGTCTCCCATTAGAGGCGGAAGGGGCCTCCCTTAGAAATAACGCCGCTTGGAAGAGCGCCCTTTTGTCGCGAGCGAGGACGGAGGCGACGACCACCACCACCGTGTGGTGTGACGCGCCGCCGCTGCGCCGCTCGGTCGAGAACCCGCCGTCGGCGTCGGAGTTTTTCTCTCCTCGCTTGGCCGCCGCAAGTGTGAGCCCAAGTGGTTTTGCTCCCTTGCCTTTGTTTGTCTTTTCAACCCTGCGAGTGCGGTGGGCGCATGCGTGTGGTGGCATCCGCTACAACCAACCTCATTAGTTTTCCGCTTTTTTTTACTTTTAGTAAAGGGAGGTGGACAATTGCGATGTGGTCTGTTGAGTGATGAGTCGAGTTGTTTTGTCAGTGGGGCGGAGTTTGCTTTTTTTTTTTTTTTTTTTGTTTATAATTTGCACTCCCCCCCCCCCCCCCCCCCCTGGAGAAAGTAGAAGGGACGGTTGAAAGAGCCGGCTGCTTTGCTTCTCAGGGGAAAGGCGGGACAGTTTAATTATTTCCCATTATCGTCATTTAAGAGGCTGAGCACAAATGTGTTTGCAGCACCTGCGGTTGCTTTGTTGGTGGAGGACCGTGGACTCAAGTTTCTGTCGGGGGGCGGGAAAAGACGGGGGAGAGAATACTTTGTCGGGTTTTAAACGTTAATTAATTTCCTGTTTTTTTTGTTTGTTTTTTTGTGGGCAGATGCATAATTATTTTCGATCCCTTCTTCCTGTTTTTAAATACTGAGATGCAGAGCCTCTGACCGGTGCAGCTGGAAGGTCTCTTTAACGCTACAAGAACCCGAAACATAAAAAAAAAAAAAAATACTCAGTTTTTTTTTAGTGGTTGTCCATTATTTATGTATATTTTTTTTCTATTTCTTCCAGTCTTAAGTTTATTATTTTTCAGCTAGTCCACCAGCTTGTCTGTTTTTCTTCTTCCCTTTTATCATTTTTCACTGCAATGGCGCAAGCGCCCAAAGGCCCAGAGATCGTTGAAAGAAGAAAATAAGTTTTTTTTTTTTTTTATTCTTATTATTTGTTTTGCAGAAATTGTTGGTGCACCTTTTCGATATAGCATAACTCGAGTCCACTGAAAAAATCGTAAGGGTGCAGGCGAGCTGGTGAATATTAACCTTGAATTAACCTGAGATGACCTTGAGTATGAGACTATATAAGGAGGTGGACTAAATGAATGAGTTAGCTGAGTTTGAGACGTCGTCCTGTCTATTTTCTGTCCCTTCTACGTTTTGATGTTTCTTCTCTACCCCAGTCTCAGGTTAATTCGACATGGTTGAGTCCACTGCATGCTCTTTTATGACTAAAGTTAGTTTTGGAATAAACTACACGATACTATTGCATATCATTTGAACTGTTCGAACTGGCAGTTTTTATTTCAATTAACATTTAGCTTAACTTCTTATCACATCAGGCCGAACCACTGATCGGAAAACCGCTGTACCTTAGTTGTCTCACCTTTTGGCAATTACCGTAAATAATGTATTCGAGGGGTTAGCTACGTAGGACTAGAAGCAGAAGCCAAGAATGGCTTCAATCAGATGAGCTTTCTGAAGGAATTAGTGGGCAAGGCTGCAGTGTGAACTTCTCTTATGCACCCAGACCTTGGTCAGTGTTTTCCTCAAGCATTATGCCGTAAATAAAAATCTTTATAAAAAAAAATGTATCTTATGAAATGATTTTGAATGTTAACATGTCAATGTGGACATGTCAACTTAAAATGTTTGAGTTGGGAAGGTTCATTCATTACCTTCTGCATTTGCTTATCTCTCCCTTTGCGGCATTTATTTCTAGTTATCAGCTCTAATGTAATTTTCAGAGAACTCTCGACATCTTCGCCATGAAATCTATTCTCAAGGCAATCTTTTTGTGTTGACATTTCCTATGTCGGAAAGTGATTTGGGTCCCCGCGCTCGACTACGATGTAGGTAAAACATTGTTTTTCGTTCCTCCAGCGGCTTTGTGTCCTTCTTGACTGACGCTTTCGTTTTTCGGTGACAATTTTGTTTCTCCCTGCTTTTCCCTTTCTTATTCCGTGGCAAGCTTTACGAGTTCGTTGGTGCTCGAGTTGGCCTGACCTTTCCTATCTGCTTCCCCGTTTCTGCCATACAGTGTCTGGTGTGGAGTCCCAAGGCACCCTCGTGATCAACCCCGTCGGGGAAAACAAGACAGAGCCAGCCGGCAAAGGGTTCGTCCTCTTCTGCAAGGGCAACTCGGGCGACGCAGACTACACGGATTTCAAGTGGACGGGCCCCAACAACCAGGAGATCTTGGGGTCAGTATGCTCTGTTGCTCTCCCGTGTGCCTTAGTCTTATCTGTGTGCTTGTTCTCACAGTCCATCACTTGTGTCGTTAACTGAAAGGTCCCCAACTGTAGACTTAAATACCCAAAGGGGAAGCCCGGAAAATTGGGGAGACAAAACATTTTTCAGACCGTCAAAAATCTGTTAAAAATCGTGAGGATACATTTTTTTTTAGCTGTCTCTTTTACTTATTGAATATAAGTAAAACGAGGTGTTCCCATGGTGCAAGATGCAATTGCGGTCACATCTCATTAATACGGACTCATTAATGTAGATACCCTGCTATGTGGACAACATGTTCAAGGCATGCACGTAGCCAGGATTTTGTTTCAGGGGGGGCCCACTCATGACAAAATGCTGTATGAGGGGGAAGGGGGATAGGAGGACCCATGCAAAATGGAAGATTTTGGGGGGGGGGGGCACGTAGCCATGGGCCTCTCCCCTGGCTACGTGCCTGGTTCAAGGATGAACTGGGTAAATACATGCATTTTTTTTCACGTTTTTATGGAAAACTCGCATTATGAACAATTTTAGGGAAACGGAGGTGTCCATATTAACGAGGCATCACTGTAGCCAGGAACTATGCTAAAATACTTAAATGGGCTAGTTGGTTAAGCACACTAAACATAAATAGAGCTTGTCCCATCTTCTTTGTGTGCTTGTCTGTCCTTCGTGCTATTTATGTTTGATGTGCAAGCCTGTAGAACTGCTCAGCAACCAAGCTGAGGAGCAAGTCTACAGAATGGGCTGAATGGCCTGTCTTCCTTCTCAAAATCTGTTCCTGCCTTATGCAGGACAGAGCGTGGTGGAAGACCCCTTTTAAAATTTTTCTCTCTAAAGCCAGACCTGTATCATGCTCGCAATCCCAAAATCTTGGATAAATCTTTATGGTATGCCCTTTAAGACTGTTTTTAGTTATGGAAGAATTTAAGCCCATAAAAAAAATGTATGAAATGTGTATGATGAGTAAATCATTCTATCCCGGTTTTCACCTCAAGAAAAAAGCAAGTCTTATTACGACATTTGGCTATCGAAGAAAAAAGCTATGCTTCTAGCGTTTGGAATGTATATGTGTTGATAACATAACATTTATAATAAAAATACTCACTTGCATATACCTTAATTATCCACATAAAAAGGGGAATTGGTAATGCTCCGCGAGGAGCCGGACTTGTTTTACTACAGTTCTTGAGGTGAAAACGGGTGTAGAGGGCTAAGCACTCTTCCTTTCTATGCGTCCGAGTGCAGGGCTCACTTTTTTCTGGGGTGTTTTCGTAGAGGGGAGCCTTTTCTTTTGCAAGACGACATCAAAACCATTTTGGAAGGCACGTCGGTAGACAAAAATCAATATCCTTCGGACGAGAAAAGACACATCCCGAAGTAGTCATTCTGTTTATCGAGGTACCAATGCCTCTCCCTCGCCAGAATAAGCAAAAACGAGGCCCCAACTCTCCAAGTTGGGCTAGAGCTCCTTGCCATTTGCGCTTCTGGCTGAAAGTGGGCCACGGCTAAAAGCTGACGCACGCTTGCGTGCACTTCTACTTTACTTTTTTTTCAAAAACATATCTTCCCCCTCATGTGACAGGGGCTTGACTCGTGAGGAGAGCGTTGCATTGAGAGGAGGGCCGTCAGTCGGTCGATGCCGAAGGAAGCAGGTCGTCAGAAGCGACTTATTTTCGCCTCCCCACCTGCGCCTCCGAGAATAAGTGTGGCCCCTGCCGCCAGACTCTTAAAACCAACCTCGCCGCCACCTTTTGCCAGCTGTGTGACTAAGCCGCATCGGAAATGGGAATGCGGTCTAACAGATAACATCAAAACACACAGAGGGGGAGGTTTTTTTATTTATTTTTTGTTCTGATGTTTTTTTTTGCTTTCGTGCCACCTCTGTAGTCGTCTAGATACACCTTGAATCTGCTGCCCTCTGCAGATTCTGGGGTGCATAGGACCGCAAATGGAATTCCTAGTCCTGCTCGATGTTCGGTGCGAGTCGCTATTATTGTTGAGGCAGTGGTTTTGCTCGGGGCTTGGCATCGTAATGCCTTGTGCACACTGTGCGGGTTAGTGCATACTTTTTTGTTATTTTCTGTTCATAGATGCAAAGTAATGCAGCATCGTCACATCAAGGGGTCAGAGACGGGGCACGGAAAGAGTTAATTTTATACAGGGTCTGCATTATCCGGATGGCAATCTGAGAGCTGCAGTGGAGTATACCGGGTGTTCCATTTTAGTTTAAACGGATTTATCACAAAAAAATCTGTAAGAGATCCACTGATACAATTTGGGCATGTGAGTTATACAGCCAGGGGGACATCATATAGGTGGCTAATCTTTGCGATAAGTCTGGTAATTAACTAAACTTCCTTAATTAACTTTTTAATTAGTAAAAATAATCATATGGCTTCAATTGGGAACATGCTGAGCATAATCAAAAACCACTATATCAGTCAATTTTAGAACGACCTGAAGCTCGTGGGAAACTCGGGGGTGCACCAAATTTACCACTTGTGCAGCAGGCACATAGCTAGCTGTGGCGGATCGCAATGATAATCTAATGATCTGCGTTTTGCCACTGCTAGCTTTGCGCCTGCTGCACGAGCGGTAACTTTGGTACGCCCCCGAGTTTCCCACAAGCTTCAGGTCGTTCTAAAATTGACTGATGTTGTGGTTTTTCATTATGCTCAGCATGTTCCTAATTGAAGCCATATGATTATTTTTACTAGTTAAAAGTTAATCAAGGAATGTAGTCAATTCTCCAACTTCTCGCAAAGATTAGCCGCCTATATGATGTCCCCCTGGCCATATAATTCCCCTACCCAAACTGTATTGGTGTATCTTTTACAGATTTTTTTTATAAATCTGTTCTAATTGAAATGGAACACTCGGTATATTTCGAAGTTTGAGAATGGTACTGGTCTGTGATTAAGCTTTGATAATGGGATTTTGTGGCTTGATAGTAGCAGGGGTAGAACGGCTGCGCCATTTGCGCCATTTTGCGCCAGACGCATGTGTCTGCGCCATCCTGCGCCATGTTTCAGAAACTGCGCCACAGCCAATACCTCGCGCCATTATGCGCCAAATCGCAAAACGTGCGCCAAAAAAACTTTTTATTTCGTCTTAGTTTCGGTTTCTATCGACTCAATTGGCAACAATGAGGGCGTTTAGCCTGGTCGGCCTTGTAATCCTTTGTTGTGTTTATTCCCCCTGTCTATCCCGAGTCGGAAGCGCGCGAAAAAAACTCGGATTCAAAGCGCTACACCACCTGCGACTGGATTGTTATTCTTCAACCATAAGCGGTAGGGCAAGTCGGCCGAGGTGAGGTCGAGTCGTTAAGCATCAGATTGCATGAGGCTCTGCGGCCCGGGATCCGGACGTCATCCAGTCGAAAGCAAATGAGCGAAAGATTCCTTTTAGTACTTCATCCTTAGCAGTTGGAACCGCATTCTCGCAAGATAAATCGTGATTTGATAGGACTGAAACGCGGTCCGATCCGAAACCTTGCCGGCCAGCAGCTCTTACCTTGCCGGCCAGCAGCTCTACTTATCTGCTCGGAGTACTTTAACCTTGCTCCTGCTTATCGCTTCAAATACGATAACTTCGTTAATCGTAGCCTGCGGCTTCGATATCGAGTTGCGCAATAGGATAAACTCGAAATTTGTTGCCCTGCTCCTCCGTGCAACTGCATGTCCGTTGTTTACGCTCGTCACGTGGTTCGCACATATAATTACTATGTCAATCACGTGCGGGTTGTGCGATAAGCAGTGCTGGTTTGCATTTTGAGCAGCCGAAAGCCACTAAGAAAATATCAAGGACGCTATTTTCAGAAACATCAGGTACTAGCTTTTTGATTCTCATTAAGGCTCACAAAGTTTCAAGTTTTCGCATCTATTACACTGTTATCCCATCTGCCTGGGTCCCTAACCACTGATGTTCATCTCTGCTCCTAAGCAAAATTGAAATTGTTCCCGTGCTTGTCTAAGACACAAGCTGAAGTGCAATGCAAACTGATCTGAGCTGCTCCTAGCCTGCTCCAGAATGTAGTTTTAGCTGCTCCCAACCTGCTCTAAAACGGCTGTTTCAGCTGCTCCCGTGGCTGCTCCCAAGCACATTTCATGAGTTCCACCCCTGTACTAGTAAAAAGGATTTGCTCCTGTATGGTTTGAGTTGTCTCTAAAAGGCCTCACGGGAGCAATTTTATTGTTTGTTCTATGAAATGGATTTCTCACAATACTTTACAAAGTGGATAGTTGGGCGAGTAGACGAAGAATGCTGAAAAGAATGCCAATAAGCAAGGGTGTTGGCTTTTCAGGCAATCTTGAATTTGAAATTTGACTTCAATTTGCTTGCTGAATTTCATATGACTGAGTTTGCATAGTACTGGAATCTAGGTGCACCTCACGCAATGATGTTTGCTTAGTGCTTTGAATGACTTATTTTTTACGAGGTCCTCATTTATGTGAATTTTGCAACTTTAAAGGTAGTGCTAAAAGTTGATTTCATAAAATATATTACCCCCATGGTGTGAATCACTATAAGGTAATATATCTATCCAATTTCCGAAATTTCATGCCTGCAAAATATTTGTAAAACCTACACTCCCCAAAATTCAAAATTCATGAAATATTGAGCCTAAAAAAGTCTAGTCATGTACAGTAATATGTCTCGATCTTTAAAGGAGTATTGGAATTTGAAAGCTAATAATTTCTGGTTACAGATTTACTTTATGAATATTTGGTACATACTAGCCGGTTTCATAAGTATTCAGATGTCTAATATCTTCATGCTGTCCAAAGTAATTGTGAATAATGAAAAGTTAAAACATTTCTTGTTGGGTTTTAACTAAATTTCCCTTGCATTCATAAAATATAACAAGGATTGATTATGAGAAGGCTGGCATACAGGTTAAAGCTGCTAACATTCCTTTAAAACATTACATCAAGTTAAATTGCAGAACAAGAAAACAAAATTTCCGGCTATATGTATGTGCTATTGCAAAAGATAAAACATTTGTTTTGGCAGTTGTGCAGTAGTAGTAGCCTTATGAACTACAAATCATCTGGAAGGCATAATACTGTAATCTGCCCCAAAGGTTTGATGGCATATTTGTAGTATAAAAGTATTCTAAGAAGTTTTGCCTTCATTAAATGTGACTGGGTAATGTAAAGGAATTCCTATGAGTTCAGCCAATCACTTCAAAGCAATAAAGGTCGCCGTGGGCAGGAGGCATTTCATTTGACTAATATAAAATAAAAGCGAAACCAAAATGATTACCTCATTTTTCTTAGTTTTTATTTATAAGTTCTGATTGAGAAAGGTTCATCCTTTAAAGGGCACTAAAGAGGATTCTGCAGTTGTCTTTTCTTGGTCACGACTGACTCTACGGGCCCTAAGCAACTTAAAAATCCAAAAATTACAATCACACGACACCCATCTCCTTATTAAAAATGCAACAAAAGGTTAGAACACATCACTTTCTGAGGCAATTTTTCCACTCAGGCAAGGTGGGGCATACCCCAGCAGTGGTCTCGGTGTGGTGACAATGGGCTCTCGTTGGCCAATCACAAGCTGGCTCTCTCGGAGAGGAGGCTTGCGATGGGACCGATGCGCACCCATCGTCACTGCGCTGAGTGAAAAAATTGCCTTAGAAAGTGGTGTGTTCCGACCTTTTGTTGCATTTTTAGTAAGGAAATGGGTGTCGTGTGATTGTAATCTTTGGATTTTTAGGATGCCTAGGACCCGTAGGATCAGTTATGACCAAGAACAGATGATCGCAGAATCCTCTTTAGTGCCCCTTCAGTATTTTCACGAAACAAACACACTGACCGCATTTTTATGGGAAATTACAGTGCCATTTTTTGCAAAGCCGATTTTTGTAATTTATTATAAATTGGTCACTCTAATAATGTCAGTGTCCTATCCTAGCAAAAAGATGTTGAGTGTGCAGGCGAGCTGGTGATAGTTAATCACATTGTGTAACACCCAAGCTGTATTAGAGGAGAAAAAACAAACAAAAAAAACAGACAGGAGATTAACGTCTCTATTTAAGCTGAGCTGAGTTTGAGGCTCCTGTGTTCGTTTCTTCTATTTGAAAGTTCTTTCTTTTTTCCTTCACCGCAGTCCCTCTTATTACACAATATGATTAAGTGTCCTAGCTTTCCGTTTACTTGCTGTGGTCCTGACTATTATGCTTTCCCCAATGCTTTTCTTTTCAGGGGCCCGGATATGCAGGTGATATCTACGGATGACAGCTACATCCTCTCCTTTGACAAGCCGTCACCCCAAGACAGTGGCACCTACACGTGTAGCGCCCTCTATGGAAACACCATCCGCCTAACCATTTCGGTTCACATCACCTTTTACCGTGAGTCATTGTGACGTCTTGTTTCTATGTTTCCACATTGCTATTGGAGGTATGGAAGTTGAGGGTCTCCTGTCACTGCCATGCTTTCTTCAACCCTGAGTCACTCTGACTTCTTGTTTCTTTGTTTCTGCATTGCTGTTGGAGGTACACAAGTTAAGGGTCTTTTGTCATTGCCATGCTTTTGTGAACTGCAGCTGTTTGTCAGCTGCACAGAACTGCCATGTTAAATGCTTAGAGCACTCTACCAGCAGCTTGTTTTGTAGAAGTCATATGTTAATGAGTAAACATTTGTTACCCTTTCCTGAGATCCCGTAAAAATGCCACAACTGGTCTTGTTTTGGCTCATTTTAACTCTCAAGCATAAAAATTAATATACCTTGATGCAAGTTTCTCTTGTATGCCAAATGTAAAAGTGGAAACACAACTTTTTGTCACATTTTTGTTGAGGAGCTTGTGTTGTGCTGTCTCTTTTACAGCAGCAGCTGTTAGTGCCCCATTCCGGCTAAATCCGACAGCATTCGCATGTAAAAACCCATGATCGCAGGGGACGGGCTGCCCCATCGCTGCAGCGCTATCGCTCTCTTCCCATCACCGTTGCCCCTTACAAGCGTGTCATTTATGGCAAGACATACTAATGCCTCCTGTCTCTCTCTTTCTCCCCCTCGCCACTGCCATGCACACAGCAGCAGCTCCAAAACCGCAGATGTGGTCAGTTTGGAGTTCTGGAAGGTTCTCTGGCAGGTCTAGAAACAGCAGTTAACCAAAACCATATTGTATAAGAGCATTTCAACCAAAAGCACATTTCAGCGTCAAATTTCTTGGCAAAAGCACATCTTGTAAAAGCCTTTGTACATCTCCTACAACTATTTTACTAAAAGCATATCTCATAAAGCAAGTATCACAAAGCACATTCTTCAACGACGCAAGAGCTCCCGCCATGCATTGCAGCACGCTTTGTGCGGTCTGTTGCAATCTTCCCTTGGGAACTCTGGCTGTCCGACCCGCTCCCTCGCCATGCAGACGACATCACGTGGGAGGAGTGCCCCCTGAGCCAGCATGTGATCCTGGGGCAGGAAGGGAAGGTGCGCTGCCGGGTGAGGGGCAACCCGGTGCCCATGGTGTCCTGGACCAAGGATGGACGGCTCATGGACAGCCAGCGCTACGAGGGCACGGACGACGGCGTCTTCATCCGCAGCGTCCAGGAGCAGGACAAGGGGCTCTATCTTGTGTCTGCCATGGTCGCCGTCACGGGAAAGTTCCAAAAGCGCAACATTACTGTTGACGTCTACAGTGAGTCCCCCCCTCTTTCTTGTTTCGATCGCCGGGCTCGATCACTGGCCTCGTTCGATTTACCCGCACTAGCCTACACTGGTGCAAGGCAGCGTACCTCCACTATGTGTTTTAAGAGTAGGCTGCACTCATAGGTGAAATGCAAGCGTGTGCTTCTGGTACATGAGCTGTAGGTAAATCAAACGTAGCAGCTGTATATGAACCCTGAAAGAGCCATGGAGGTGGGAAGCTTCTGGGCCTGTTTGCTCGAAGCCAGTTAACTTTAACTGCCGTAAAAAGTTAACCGCATTTCGCTATGAGGGGGAATTTCAGGTCATGTAACCGGCAGAGTAAGGGCGGCGGAGAAACATGGCGGTGCCCCTGCAAACGAGTGTTGCTCGCTTTGGAATTAATATGTCGTAGTAGCTGCAATAACGGGTGCGTTAGTCAGCAATGAATGGTGCAGGAGGCTCTCGCTTTGTCTTACCTCACTTAAATTGCAAAGCATGAGCAATGACCTCGTTGCATTTTTTAGATAGTCTTTCGATTCTGGCCATTCCTAAGCCTAAATGATTGCAGTAATTGTCGGCATGGCAACGTTTTTGGAATACTATAGTGGATTGCCTTGACTCAATCGGTCAGGTATAGACCTATTGCTAAATTACCCAAGCATCAAGGAGAATGCAGGGAATGGTGTTCCACGTGCCACACTTACTGGCGTTTGCAGCAGTAACTGTTTTAAAGCGAAAGCGTAAAACAAATGGCATCTTGGACGCGCATTCGTCCGCGCTCAATATTTGGTTATTTACTTCAAATCTTTTATGCGGGAAAGGCGTGCGCGTGCGGCACATGAAACACCATTTCTTGCATTCCCCTTGATGCTTGGGTAAATTAGCGATAGGTCTATTGACAGCACGCAGAAGCAGACAGCGTCCCAAAAGACCCTTCGCTAAATTTCCCAAGCACCAATGTTCATGCTACGAGTGTAGTTACGTGTGCTGCACGTGCTGGCGTCTGCACTATTAACTGTTCTAAAGCAAAAGCCTAAAACAATTTTTACCTTGCATGTGCATTTGTCAAAGCCTTATTATGATTATTTACTTTAATGTTTTATACTGGGAAGACTAGCGTGCGCAGAGCATAGAACTATACTTTGAGCATTCTCCTCGATGCTTGGGTAATTTAGTAATAGGTCTGTTTTCACTAGAACCGAACTACCTGGTTTTCAATTTATAATGGTGTTATATACAGTTATTACATGCTGGCCAACCATGCTGCCAGTGTAACACCCATCTTTCACTACTCACTTCTTCCTCATTGTTTTTAAGACGGAACTTCGTCGTCCTCCTTCGAACTGGGAAGGAAATTTCAACAAGGCTTGTCTTCGCTTCAGACAGCCAAAAATTTAGAAATTTTCCAAACAAGGTTAATTTAGTTTTACCTTACCCAATATCTGTGCCACAAGCGAGAAAAAGTGTCCCTTAAGCTCAAATGTATGCTATGCTGCATTGCAAAAACCTGGTATTACGTGTTTTTGGATGCCCCCTTTTTGGAAACTTTTCTACGAAAGCAACTAATATTTGCTGGAACCAGTAGGTGACAGCAGCTACCTCCCCATAATAAAACCTGGAGCTATCGCTCATCCAGTCCTTGTTAAATATGGCTAGCTACCTAGTAGGGAAGGGCAGTTAACTTTTTAGCGTGGTTAATGTTAACCGGCTTGGAGCAGACGTGCCCTAAAGGCGCATGAAGCTACCAGAGGTGAAGCCAGAAGTATGGAGGGACATGCCATTAATGATAACCAAGACTAGGGGCCCCAAAGGCGACCACAACAGCAGTGGAGTCAGCTCTCCTTTCCGCCCAGTAACGTCTCTTGGTTTTGGTCATCGTTGTTGGCGTGTCCCTCCACATTTGCGGCTTCACGTCTAGTGGCCTCATGTCGCCTCCAGAAGCTTCATACCTCCGTGGGAAGAGCCTTCATGTTGACAGCCCTTCATGTTTCTGTTTCTGCGTGTACTGCTTTTTTATTTGTCTGAACTTTGAACGTGTTCCGTGAGACCTAAAGAGGTTGTGTTGCATGTCTTTGTTCCTCAGGCTAAAAGTTTTGGTTTTTAAAGAGGCCTGCAAATTCATAGAAGTGCAGATTCAGTTGGCATTATCTGCAATTGGCCGTTTTGAATCTATTATGTAGGCCACATGGCAATAGGCATTTAGGGGTGGCTTTTATGTTTTACCCTCTACGGTAGAGGTCGGCAACCGGCGGCCCGCAGGCCGCATTTGGCCCACGAAGCAATATTATGCGGCCCCCGGCACGCCATCAGAAATGAACTCCTCATCCTTCAAAGGCACACTCCAGAAGAATTGGTGTGTTGGGTTGCCAACCCGATATAATCGGACGTATTAACTCTGAACATGTTCGAGAGTTTTGCCAGATAGAGTTTGTTGATAGGGTAATCCATAAGCAGACAATAAGCTGAAAAATGCATTTGCAGCAAATGATTTTGTCACAATGTGGCTCCCTGAATTCAAGTTTCCAAATCTACAAAATCTCGTAGTGTCCTTAATCGAGGTGGGCGCTTTATCTGCGAACATGCTTTATCAAGATGAAGACTGCAAAGCCAAATGTGGGTCTTGCGGAATGACAGATGAGCATTTCCAACGTGTTGCACGACTTTCAGTTTAGAGTTTTAATGTGAATGTTGCATCGTGGCAAGCAATACTGAACACCCGAAATCTTACTGAGAGGGGGCTCGAGCAATCTTAGGTTATGTGTGCCTGAATCAAGAGAACATCTTTACTATACTAAATTATGTAAGTACATATGATTCATCAAGATATACATCTTTCATTTGGAAGGTAGGGTTGCTGCTTCTGCTTCCCCCGGTCTGCATATGTGTGTTGTTTATGTATTAGTATGAATGACACTTTTTTATGCAAGATTTGCCGACTTGGGTTTGTTGCTGTAGTCAGAGATTCCCCTTACTGTAATGATGTTTTACTTGGGTTATGTAGCTTACAGATAAATAAATAAGCGCAGTGGCCACTGAAAGCCTCACTCGAGCCACATGTTGAGCTGCAAGTAGGCATCTAGGACTTCAGTTTAGGTCACACTATCGATCTTGCCTTTTCTGACACACTTACGAAAGTCGTATTATGTGTTGTTCCACCCGCTTACATTTCCTCATTTCTTAGCCGGCCACTTTCAAATCTAAGAACAACAGCATATTAGGTGGTAAAAATAAAAAAAAAAAATACATCCAGCGTAGAAAAGGAGGACGGTAGAAAAGAAGTAAATGGGACAAGAATCTATCTTGCAACCAAACATTTTTATTTCAAGCACGAACCAAACCACCCGCATCTCTAGTACAGAACGTCAAAGGACACAACTTCTCCTTTCTGTCGTCGGTTTCCGGTTTCTCTGTGGTGTGGTCGCCCACCGCTTGCGAGTTTCTTGGGACTTGTCCTGAGGCGTGCCTTGCCCTTGTGCAGCACCCCCCAGCATCTCCCCCAAGATGCCACACTCCAGCGAGCTGGTGGAAGGCACCCAAGGCACGCTCAAGTGTTCCGCCGAGGGGTACCCGCCTCCGCTCTACTACTGGTTCGACCAGGTGGGTTCCCTCGCATGTATGGATGGATGGATTGATGCTGACGGCTCTACCCTTTATATCGGGTGGTAGCTCGTGCCTCCTATGCTCCGCGACAACTTTTCTTGGAATTTTCGGGGAGAGGAGGAGAGCCTGTGCACAGCTTTATTCAGCGCTCAAAATGGGAGAGGGAAAGCGAGCCTGTATTTTCCACTGCATTGCCAAGAAAAGTTGTAGTGGAGTATAGCTACGGCGACTCTGGTGATGCTTGTTGCCAGCAGCAGTTTCTTCTTGCCACCAAAAGAATAAATTTTTATAGAAGAAAATAATAAAAAAGTGCACAAAATACCAAACACTGCACTTCCAAACTAAACAAAAAAAAAAAAAAGAAAAATAAGTTGCCCAGATAGGTTATGTAAAAATATGCTCTACGCCCCCACCCCACCCCACCCCACCCCACCCCACCCCCTTTAAAAAGAAGTATTACCGGAATATTGGTTTTGCCAGATGCAATTTTAGTTGAGATCAATTTCATCTGCTTGTGTGCACCGACTCGAGAGTGGCTTTTATTTCAAGGTTGGTGTCAACAGCATGGGTGTACCAACCGGGAAAGGGGAGGGGGGCAAAAGTGGAGGACTGATTCTGATTCGTACAGCTCTTTTTAGTGGTGTCCTTGTGGTGTAAATATTACATTAATTGTTTTTATAAAAAAAAAAACATGCATTTCACTACATACATTTTTTTCAAGCAGTTAAAAAAAAATTAAGGAAGTGCAGCATTTTTTTTTTTTAATTTCTATGGAATTGTGGAGGCCTTTGATAAGGTTTGATTTTAATGACCAGTGTCCTCTTTGAATGGCTCAAACGTGGAATAATGCTAAATTTACCAATTGCACGCTTGGGTTTGACAACTACATTTTAGAAATTACAGGTAGGAAGCCAACATGTTGCATAAACGTTTGGTGTGCCAGTTCCACAGGAGGGACAATTTCCCTGATCGTTCAGAGGTAACCCCCTCCCCCCCCCCTGCTCCTGACGAAGCACCACACTATAACCAGTTATGTAATTGTTTGGCAAACTAATAGATTTTAGGTGACATGCCTACAGGATCTGAACTGACATAGCTGGCACACTCTAATGGTGAATTTCACTGGTCATTTTGGAGCGCACCAGGATCAGTAGGCCAGATCCGAGATGGAGCAAGTGATCCGAACAGAATTACTCTGCTTCCGGAGCCCCAGAGGAACGTGACCACGTCTCTGGGATCGGCGGATACCTTTTCATCATTCACCTTCTCGGGAACTCCCTTCCCGTGGTCCTAGATCTCGAAGCACGTGTTTTCGCAATCACGGCGCTAACAACTTCTGTTCAACGCATGAGCATAGTTAATCATTATGTGAAAGATGCGTGTCAATAAGCGATGGTGCATCAGCTTAGCCCACTTGCCTCTTCATCAAAATACTCGTGAAAGGTGTCCATGTATGTCTCAATTTTTTGCCTCTTCTGCGGAGGTCCGAAAAGACAGTCGAATTCATGCGGGACATATAAGCAGTCCTCGTCATCGCTGCTACTAGAGCTGCTGCTGCTGCTGCAGGAGCTGCTCGAGCAACTTGACGGCGAGCTGCCATCAAGCTGCAGCAGCAGTAAAGCGGGCGGCATTTCGCAGGCAGCCATTACGAATTCTTCCGAGGCTACATGCCTGGCGAGAAAGGAAGTCAAGTGTGCGCGCCGAGCGCTGGCAAGGCTGGTTTCCAGTCAAATCCGTCGAAATCGGCAGAGCGACTTTTCTCGGATCCGGATTGAGATCTGGAGTGGGAGCTGATCCAAAACGACGAGTGGAACATATCCATCTCGATCCCGATCGCCCAGTGAAATAAATGCACTCCAGAATGACCAGTGGAATTTGCCATAAATTGATCTTGACTTGAAAACTGTTTTTGGTAATGGACTTTTTCCGCTTGTAAACGGCACCCAGCAGCAGACTTCTTAGGAAAGGTCCATTTAGTGATGATTTCCACACCTAGGAAGTTACCTGTTACAACTTCAAAGTAATGGTTTATGGAGAATTCATTACTTGTCATGTAATGTTGTGACATGTTTCATGGTAATGGCAGTACATAATTGATAGTGTAATTTCAGTGTAAAATTAATCATTCATTTTTGCTTAAAAATAGATATGATAGAAATGTAAAGTATTACTGCAGTGATAAAAGCGCTGCTCCGAATTGCGGTATGAATGAAAGTCTGCTACATCTTGTACCAAAGTGCCATTCCTGCCGAAAATTGCGCCTCGCTTGCGCCGAGATGGGCCTAAGCAAAGCAAAAAAAAAAGAAAATATTTGATTATTGGTCAAACTTAATATTTAGGAAAGTAGGAGGAAAGGAAAATCATACAAATATGTATTGCATAGCATCTCTACTCGCCTTATAGTTTATTTCGTCTTAGGTCAGAGTGCAGTCCAAGGCTCGAACAGATCCAACCATGAACACGCATAAAAGCACACGTCACTGGACATTTTCTGCACTTCATTGGTTTATTCTATGAAAGAACATGTGCAAGAAGATGGACGAGTTCTATGATGTCGTGCTTTGATGCCGTTTGGTTGGTTTCATCGTCTAAATTTCTAGTGTCAGCGACGCCAAGAGCTAAAAGTCACGAGAAAGAATTACAAAATAGTAGGGTTGGTGGCTCCTGTGATAAGACAGAACCAGGGTCTTGTACTCCTGATGAGATCTCTTGATCATCACGAGCTTCATCGCTCTGCTCTGGAGGGCTAGGATCAGCTGCTGACATAAGTGAGTGCCTGGATTAGTGCAATAACTTGGATATTATGCTCAATACTGGGGTACCGAACTTGGTCTTGATTGTAGGCAATCTCTAATTTTAAAATGCTGTGCCGAGAAATGGAAAAAATTTGTGGGTCATTATGTAAACAGAATACAGTAGTCAAGGTAGTTTCTGTTTAACTGTCAATCAAAAGAGCAGCAAACTTTGACTTAACTCTGTTTTAAATGCCGCTAAAGAGCAGTGTCACTTCTAAAGCACAAGCGTGTTTTCACAATACTTGTGGGTGGTTGATTTTGCAGTTTATAATGTTAAAATCTCGAGTTTGGTAGGTTAATAAGACATATTTTTATTTATGAACCTTTTGCAGATATGCTAGTTTTTGCCAGCAGTTTACAAAAAAATAAATAAAATTACTCGCGGAGTAAATAAACTATTTAGTCTAAAAAGGGGAGGACGGGAGAGGCTTTATGTCAACTGAAGTGTTGTGCTATGCTTTCTTTTTACTAAACATGTTTTTAAGACACATTATAAACAGAGACTACCCTGACCAAAGCCTTATATCTGAAAAGAAGGTTCTCTGTTCCTTTTTCACCCTATCCTTATTACAGAATGTAATAAGTGCCTAATATGCTCCAGTTTCAAAGAGGAGCCCATTCAACTTCCTCGTCCTCGAGGGGGGGTGGGCATCCTGGTCCGGATGGTAACGACCGATGATAGTGTTTGCCCGACAGAAGCCCCCGGGAAGTTGAATAAAAAAAAAAACAACTAAAAGTTGTCGAATCCCGCTGAACACATTGCGACATTGGTTGACTTTACAGTGGCCAGTGTGGCCACATTTATTAGGAAACAAAACAACTCAACAGTGAGTTAAAATCCCAAAATTAAACCCCATACTTTTGTCCCCAGTCTGCCAAAATCGAATCGAATCCAGTCCCTGAGAATCCTCTCGGCACTCCTTTTGTAGACTCGTAGGGGCCTCCTTTCCCCTGAGGGACCAACCAATCCCTTCAAGTTCCATTACTCCCAGGTGGTACACTGTTACCCAATGGTTGGGGAGCTGTTAGCTTGGTGCTCCAACCGCCAAAGCCAAATTCCTTCTAGAGTCGTTCCCTGCATTTTTCCCAGTCTGGCTGGCGCCAACAGCTAAATTATTACATTGAGTAAAAAGCGACAATTTGATACTAAGCGGCGAAACCCTCTGTACACAGGCACACTTGGTTAAAAGCTACACGCAGCTCAACGCGCGGGCTCTCCCGAAACCCGAGACATTTTTTAACGATCGCGGGGGAAGCTCTCCCACCTCGGCCGCGATGCTCCCGCAAATGCTCCCTCCAAAACGCCAACGCCAACATAGAAAGTTAAAAAAAAAAACAATGTCGACGGAAGTCTGGAAAGAGCAACTTTTCTAGCAAAAAAAACAAAAAAACACCTCAATTGATGAGCAGGATTTCTACATACTTAACAAGCCCTCAATCATTATCAGAGATGAACTCATTTAGTGTTGGAACCACTTTTTCATTTTTAAGTGATGTGCTAACAGGTGTTGCCATCTGCTCCAAAAGGATCAGTGGCTGCTCCAAACCATTATTTTGTCTGCTATAGAAACTACTACAAAAGGTCAAATGCCACTTCCATCACTGCAACTGTGAACTGCCGGTTCAGAAGCAGATAAGGATCATCTCAGAAACACAAAGGGTTAACCATTAAAAAATGTAAACCACCGCCATGCCAATCAGGAAGAAAGGTGTAGAGGTAGAAGACGCCACAGCCAGACTAACAAAACAATTTTTAATTACTTCTACTTTTTTTTTTTGCAAGCGCACTTCTGGTGCGCTAAATGTTATCCTTGGTTTTCCTTCAGTATGTGTGTTATATTAATGCGAAAGCATTAACTGGTCCCATAGAGCAGGGCTAGTGGCGTCTGTAACTGTTAAAAAATTAGACATAAAAACCAGTAACCGCAAAAAACTGCACCTAAATTGGCTGCAATGCGTCGTATCGGATGCTTTTTCACGGAAGCCAGTTCGGCCGCTAAAGGTAAAAGCAAGCGTGCCTCGCAAGTTTACAAAAAAACGCAAAGAAAAGCACAACGATGCGGATGCCTCGTCATGGAAGCCAGCGGGTACGCTCAAGGTCAAAGTGGACGCGCTTCAGAAATAAGAAGCAAAAAAAAGCACAAAAACGCAATGCTCCGTCATGGAAGCCATCTTGAAACCGACAAGGTTCGCCGTGCCTGCGCAATGGGGGAGCATGATGTCACCGCTGCAGTGCCGTGTGCGATAAGACTTAGTGCACTGTTTGTAAAAAAATTGCGGTGGCTTAGCTCGGCTATGCCAGGATATACGTAGCGTGAGCTTATGCGCACAAAATGAGAGGCGCTATCAAGCGGCTCCGGTGCAGCGTCAGACTTGGCTACTGCGTAACGGAGGCGCACAGCTGGGCACGCGGCGGCGCCAGTGCGTCTGCCGTGGCTATGACGTCACTCCTCTGGAATGCGCAGACCGGCGAGGCGCACTTTGTAGCGGCGGCGGAGCGCGCGGCGGCGGTGGCTCCGGCGCGCCAGCTGTGCGCCGTGCGACGTCACTGCTCCTCGCGCATGCGCAGCACGGCTCTTTGAAAGCCACACGAAACTGCTCAACCTCGGCCAGTGTAGCTCACGCTACAAAATGCGCTGCGTGTAGGTGAAATTCACCATTGTAGTCAAGTCTCTGAATACGCCGCGGGGCATTCTGCGCGGCGCACCGCCGCACTCCCTGCCGGCGCTGCGGTTGCTTCCTCCTCTTGGCGCCGAGAATGCTTTCACGTTCACAACTCGTAAGAAGTGCTTGGACGTCCTCAGAATTCATTAAAATGTAGATCTTTTTTTTTTGCTAACATATTTGGTGCTTTTATAAACTATGAAACTGAAATCACAGCCTTTACATTGCATGAATTTTTCCAAGTGCCACTTTCTGGAATATTTTGCAAAAACAAAGGCTCACGATCACGGGTGAATTTTTCCACGAACCACGAATGGTTTATCACTCGTACAATCCAACTTTTTTTGGATTGTTTCCAATTCATGAAATCTTCTAAAGTTGCGTCGCAGCAAGGTGTTGGTTCCTCCCCTACCGATGTTCGAGGGTCTGATTCTCGTTTTTGGTTCCCGTTTCAGGCAAACCGCAACCTGAGCACGGTGAACGGGTTCCAGGTAGACCCCAAAAGCGGAATCCTTCAGGTAAGTGCCACTCTCGGTTGCCGCTTTCTCGGTGCCGTTACGGCACCCGAAACGCGTCTTCGACTGACGTGCTGAGCGCATCCTCATTCGTGGCCCCTCTATTACTGCATCGTGGCGTTGCACACGTGCCTGGTTGTTGCCTGCCACGACCGTGGCAGTTGCACAGCAGCGAGGTTCGGTACGGCAGACACCCGTACTGCAACAGGTCGCTTCCCAACTTGGCAGTCCATGGAAGTGTCGGCAGCCGCAAGTTTGAATGCTGGATGACGGCTAGGCCAGGGGTTCTAAAAATTATTTTGTCTCGAGGAATGCATATGTCTCGATCGATAGCTAAGGAACCTCCCTTGTTCTTAGCCTCGATGCGACACAGCGGTGCTGAAGCCTTCGGACCTTGCAAAAAGTAATGTGCGTGTTAGTGAGTGTTGGACTCATAGTTATGAGTCTCTGTGCAGCTCAGATCTGCTAGAATAGAGCTGAAACTGGGGAAACACCTTTTTTGGGGCTGAGATAGCGGAGTAAATTTGGGAGCTTGGGGACTCTATGCGTTATTCATGGCCTGTACGGGATGCTAAATGCGCCAGTCGAAGACTCGTTCCAGGCACCATAGTGCTGTGCGAGTTTGCAGGAATGCATAAGATTTTGAGTTTTGATGGTTAGGAAAAAGATTAAAAAATAAGTTACCCCTGTCTGCTTCTGCTTTAGCACTGCAAACATAAATATATTTTAAGAAATATATACCTTTTTTTAAATGTTGATTAGAAGAGAAAAAATATAGCTAGTGAGACGTCAGTCATAGATCAGGCCTGGTTAGCAGTTGTTATTAAATATAATGAAAATTGTCACCTTCCTTGTCTTGCTTTTGTTTTTCTCTGGTTGCCTTGTGCTTGTCTTTGTACTTGCTTATTTTGATTCTTGCTTGCTTGCTTTTGGGTTTTGAGGATTTTGAGTTGTTTTGGTCTGAAGAAAAGCTTATTTAGAGAAATTACCCCCCCCCAATCTACATTTGTTTTCTGTTGCCATTGCTGATACTAGCCATTGTGACCCGCCCTGCAGGTAAATGCCGTCAGGAGGGAAGACGAAGGCACTTACCGTTGCCAGGCGATCAATCCAGCCAACTTGGACTCGAGGGAGGTGGCTGTCAAGATTGTTGGTGAGCCTCACGTAACCTGCACAACACTGTAGTAGTTCGTGTTTATCTGAATTGCTACCTGGTTTCGTTGCTGTGGCCTTTCCAGCTTTCCCTTGGTCGGGAATTTCTTATTTTAGTGTGCCTTTCATTGGAGCAAGTCAAAATCACATTTACATTGCCCTTGGATTTTAATGGCCAAATGGGTCCAAGTACTGCTGCTTGGATGAGTTAGCTCTTTGAAGTTTTTTTTATTCCTTTGCTTTCTGATAGTGAAGTAATGTTTATCTAGCAATTGTATGGATTACACCTGAAAAAAAAATAATATGGACACTTGTGAATAATATTACCATAATATGACCACAAAGGATATACCTCAGCCTTTGGGAGATCCTTTGTGGAGGTGGTAGCATAGTTACAGATATACATTTATAAAGAAATGTCAGTCTTTTACAGATGCACTATTACAACATTCACTCCTATATCACACATTTGGAGTTTGTCATTTTTGAGGCTGAGGGCCGAGTTCTCAAAAGCAATTTGAACAGGAAGTTTCTGGATAGTAATAGAATATAGTTCACCAGTCTCACTCATATTCCCGCCGGCATACAGTTTCTTTTCCCAGAACCGGTTTATTGGAGGACTCCGCTGCGTCTAACTCTGGAGTCCTTGGCCAAGTTTTGGTCAACTGTAGCCTTCCTAGACGTCAACAGCAGCTTGGAAGCAATCGCACGCTACCTGAGTGACAGTTCTGCACTAGTGTCCTTTGTGAAGTTCCCAGAAAGTACTTTGCCGTGGGGGGCAACATCATTCCAGAGATGGTGGACAAACAGTATAAATAAACATGGACATTGCATAAATATATTCTTTAACTTCTCTCCAAAATTTGCACTTATACCCCTCTTCATCAGTGCCCTTAGGCTGTAGGCTGCGAGTCATCCAGATAGGTTCCTGCATAGCTGTGTTAGGTGGATATGTCGCCTTGACTAGCCAAGAAATTGCACGACTGATGCATGTTTAGTCTACACATGTCACAAGTTGGAAGGAGATTTGTCAGATCCTTCAATTAACAAACTTTATACTGTCGGATCATCTTCGTGATGAATGGATCTTTATCAAAAATGCTGGTTTTGCAAAGTAAAGTCCTGAACCTGTCTTGATTGTTTTATTATAGTTAGCATAATCCATAATAAATTTCTGTTTAAATATTGATATTACTTTTTTTTTAAATATTACTAAGATACATGGCCGCACAATGTGTAAGTCACTACTGTTGCAAATTGATACTACTTTTTTTTTTAAAATTATTACTAAGATACATGGCTGCACAATGTATAAGTCACTACTGTTGCAAATGTTAGAGGTATCACGTAATTGATTTCAAATATATGATTAGGCTCACTTCTGCACTGGGCGGCATGCTTTAGGATGAGAGCAGTGGCCACATCTTCAATCACACTAGGCCTTGAGCCACCCTGTAGCTTTTAGGGGTGAGGCGGCTCCTTAGGGTCTAGCCTTGTCCATCCGTCCGGCGTCTGTGCTCAAATCGATTGCACTGCCTCCGGGATCGGCCCACTTTTAAAAAAAGAACGTGCACCCGCACGGGGGTTCGTACTCAGGACCGCTTGCTTACGAGGCAGACATTTTAACCACTGCACTACACTCCAACGTTGCATGTAGCCGCTCAACGTCTATACAGGAGAGGGCGCTGCGGTCAAATCCGTATATAATCGCGTTAACCTTTGCATGCATTGGCTTAACGTTTATAGACGAGAGGGCGCTGCGGTCAAATGCTCAACTGTGTATATAACCACGATCCATACCACACATTCTCTTTCTGACATGGACCGTTGACTTAAAGGGATTGTCCTGTCAAAACCGGAAGTACTTAAGTTCTTGCGCTCGTTACGTCGGGAGAGCCTTCATGTAGACAAACGTCATTTTTATTTTGATATATGATCTCCCGTTAATAATTAAACCTTTCATGATCCTATGTACGAAGCTGCACCCCGAATTTCGCCAGTGTCAATGGCTGACATCCGTAGGTGCTGCGTGACGTCACAAAACGCAAAGGTTTGTCGGATGGTCGGGTTAACAAGCGTAGGTCGATGGATGTCTTGTATTTTGTTTCAAATTATATAGTCTCCTAGGCTGTACCCTACTGAATTACGGTTCGTTTAATGCAGTTCCCAAGCACGTGCAAAAAAAAAAGTCACGCTTTTTGGCAGGATATTACTCGCAGACAGCCATAAGCTTCGAGCAGACGTACGCCGTTTCGCGCAAACACAACCGCGACGGACGCCGATCAAACTGGGGGCGCTTGGAAAGCAAAGGATGCAGATTTCGCCTTTGAAGCGGCACTTAGGTACACGAAGCGGCATCTTGGTACACATTTCGGCGGATCCACTGGATCGGTGATGAGGCTGTGGGTCATTCCCTCAGAGGCGACGTCCGCGGGTCGAAGGCAAACCGCGAACCGTTCAAATGCATGTCGTCACTTGACTTGTACGAGCTTGGTGAATCAGAGTATACGCTCCATTTTCACACGCAGGTCAAACAGATATCGGGCTGTACGCGTGCTAAATACAACTTCGAGATGGCCAAGCTGTTGGTTTCGGTTTCGCTGCATAATCAAGATCTGTTCGATTCGGCCAGGAAGTTCTGAACTATAGTGCTATAGTCGGTTACAAGTCAAGAAGGTAGCGGCAAATGCCCCTCAAAAGAAATCTTTGCATTTCGACGATAGGTTTGCGGCAGCAGGATGATTTTGCGTCGGGAGTCACTGGCGGCAGCGCGGTCGGTATACCGGTCACCTTGAAGACGAAGGCCTGACGATAGCGTCGTGGCCAAGACAGTTATCGACCGTAACTTTGGCGTCAAGTTGAAGCGAGGATCGGCAAAAAATGCCTATTCTCGGCGTTTTTCCGAAGCCCGTTAGTGGGCGTCCACAGATACCAGCGGACAAAGCATGCAGTATTATGCTCAGCTACAGGGACATGCGAGTGCCAACGCACTAAATCCCAGACCTCTGCAATGTATCGGAGTCGTCAATATGCATCCAAGAGCAACTGAAGGCGGGGACTATCAAGAGGGCAATACCTTTCCCGTGTCTGTAAGTAAGGATATCAACACTGTGGACCCCCCACATAGCATCAAAAAGAAACAATTTACATGAGCCAATATTTCAACACTCACCACAGGGAGCCACACCTACGCGAGCAGGTGCCTAAAACGCTTTTAGAATATCATAATCAAGCAAATTCCTACCCTCGGTTATGATCTCGATTCCGCGTCCACCGCGGGTACGTTATTACCATAAATGAGAGGAAATGCAACCTCCGTATCGGCGTTATTGTTCAACATCAACGACATTTGAGCAAGCGCTGCGAAAAATGGCACCGCGAGCAGAGACAGACGAAGAGTTCGCTGTCCCCATCTGCTCTTGTCGTCTGCTTCTGCACAGACGCTAAACCGAGTCCGGAACCGGTGCAAGATTTTGAAAAACTGCATGGGCCTGAACTCTTTCAGAACTGGGATGAATCGAACGCGCCAGTGCAGAGGTCGTGCAACTTCCGGTTGAATCGAATGCTCCAGTTTCTGCACTGCCAAACTAGTTCAACCAGTTCAGGCGAATCGAACAAACCTAAATTGACTGATCCGATTTGGGCGAGGAGTGAGTGGACGTAGTTTAATATCGTTGGCACAGCATCACACCTCAGCTTACAAGCCTTCTGTCCGCTTAGAGCTCAGCTCAAAGCTCTCTTCTCTGAGATGATTGCTGCATAAGCGGGATCTCAATCTTGACGGAAACCCAGTCCCTACGCACGACGACGATCCACTTTGCACGTCACTGCACGTCTCGCGGAAAAGTGTGGAACGTCATGTCTTGGCTCGCATGTGCTGCCCGGTGGTTGTGGCACCCAACCGCGCAACAAAAATCTTGCCCAACCACGAAACAAGTTGAGCACAACAACAAAAAACGAAGCACGCTGGGGCGTTCACTCGCAGGCAAACGACGAGACAAAAATGCTCGCTTTGTGTTTTGTGACGTCGGAGCTTCAATGTTGCCAACGAAAGCAGCGTTTACGCTAGAATGCGATTGGAGCAGTAAAAATTCAATTACTCAGGCAGAGGGGCATATAAAATTCAGATATTGCACGTACGATGTGTCTCGAGGCAATAACAAGGATATTCAATTGTTTTCTCGAATACAAAATTTGACCGGACAATCCCTTTAAGCAGTGGAGATGCATTCCCACGGCTTCTAGCGAATCAAAGCTGATCCGCTAGAAGAACCACTGGCTCTGCATTTCACCGACCATAAAGCAGTAATAATGAAGTCGAAATGCAACCCGGAACTCAGCACAACCTATGAGCAATAAAAAAAAAAATCGGCACTACGTATGAACAATAAAATCAGTATCATCAGCACCACCAGAGCTTTTCCCCAATCAACATCATTCACCATGTGGAGATGCAACCTCTTTTCATTCATCTTTTTTTTTTTTTTTTTTTCCATATTGAAAAGCATGTAAGGATGGTCAGAGGCGCAAGAACTGGGCATTTGGTTTTGGTTCCCTTTGCTAATTTTATTGGGATCTGACTTTATCCTTTTCCACAGTACTAACAATGAGCAAAGAGAACCAAGACAAGGAACCAAAGCATTGCATTGTCACCCGAGATAGCCATAGAGAGGAAAAAATGCAACAATTCTTGACTTAAAGGGCAGCCACGACTGGTCAAGCACAATACAGTGAAGACCGCATATAACATATGTTGCTGGAGTCACGAAAATCGGTGCTATAAGCGGTACCACGCTATAACCAAAACATCAATTTTTCAGGCCAAAATACATGCCATGAGACAACTTACCTTTGTAAAAGAATTTATTTTATGTTAGATGAAAAATAAAGCTTAGTTTGAGTAAAGTCTTTATTTCACCAGACTAGTACACTTTTCTCTCAAGTGTGTCACACATTTTGAAACAAAATGAGCGACTTTTGCCTGGCGCAGCCTTTTAACGGCGTCGCGGGTTGCGGCCGGACGTTGCGAGCGTTCAGGATTGCTAACCCTTATCACTTTTCTCCGGTGATGGAAACGCGTGAAAATTCGCATCCTTTTACGGTACACGCCAGTAATACCTTCAACTTGAGCACAGGCATGAAATGCTCCAAATAAGAAATGCGGGCAATGTTCGAAAACACAAATGCCTAGAAAGCACCACTGTAGTCGAAGTAAACAAACACGACGACATGGGCGTTTCTGCCGTCTTGAGAGTGCCGCCACGACATCGCCGCACGAGTAGGTGTATCTTCCCTTCTAGTACGTGCTGGGTTATCATAGCGACACACGACGAAAATTCACAGTCAAGGATAGCGCTTTTACGCGGAACGATGAGCTTCCACCACGCCGTCTACGTCGACAATCATGACCGACGCCATGTTTGCGGATAGAAGAAGCCGGCCCGCGACCGGCATGCAACGCGCGCGAACGGCGCGAACATTCGTTGCGGTTGTTTCCAACGCAGCGGAGGGATACACGCATTGGCCGTGGATGCATGCACGTGAACGACATGTACGTGCTTTCCCCGCTTCTTCGAGCAACCTCCTTGCCCCGCAAGTGCCGTTTGCGGCTAGCGCCGTTATCTAGTGTCGCACAGGGAAGCGTGCTCACTGCGCCCGTCGGTCGGCGTGGTCGGCGGGCTGTTCCAGAAACCGCACTATAACCGGTATTTCCCTCGCGCGCCTGCATTTTAAAGGGATACTGAAGCGAAACTTGAAGTACATTTATTATGGTCAGAAATAGGTTTAGTATGATCAATGATATCCGTAAATCATAATCGGGCATTCATATTTTGAACGGATGGCTATATTTTTCACCCTGAGGGGCCCGATTGGGGGCGCGCTCAAAAATCAGCCATCGGAGAGCGCGATGCGTCTTGGGATATTGGGTGCATTCGTGACGTCACTTGTGCCAGCCGGGAAAGGCTACGGCGTGGATGTTGTGGTTACAAGCGTTGCCACTTGGTGGCGCGTCAACGATTTACGACCTCTGACAACGTGGCCGTTTGGGATATGCAAGGGCTGCACGCACGCTGCACCACTGCAAGTCGGCAGCCACGGCACCACTGAGAAAACCAGCTCTGAGGTCGGATTCTCAAAGCGAACTTACGTCGAAAAAGTGTGTACGACAACTTTAAGAGAAACCCCGTATTCTCGAAACGAAATTGTCGCAACTTTTGCGCAGGTTTACACAGAATCCTACGACAGCTCCGCAGCTTTTATGATCAAATCAACATGGCCGACAGCGTCGTTCAGTTACTTGGTAGCGACGACCAACGGACATTCATTTTTCTACGTGCTCTCCTCGTGCGTCCCGACTTAACCAGCAAGTAAAAAGGAAGGAGTACTTGAAACAGGCCACAACGATCAAGAACGCAGGATCCACAAACACCCGAGAAGAGCTACAACGGCCAGGATTCTACCGACCAAGTGAGCTCGGCAGAATATAGTAGGCCTAGCAGCAACATGGACTCGGCGCACCGTTCCTTCGGCAATCCTTGGCCAAGACCGTCTGCCCATGACCGGCTGGCCTGCTGAATGGAATATGCCCGCGTGACCCTTGTGGACCCTTCCCGGATGAATAGTTGTTTTCCCTTAACTAAGTTTCAGAGGTCAATCTTTTCCCTTTGTCATCTCCATCTCCTTGTTTTCCGAGACAGCGGTGACGAACGCTGTCGTCGAAAAGAGACTCTCATTGATTCTATCTCCTTGTTTTGTGTGATATAGAGCTCAAATAAACGCCACACGGATTACCTTTGCAACACGGTATGTACACTCCGTTATTAGTATGCCATTTTTATTCTGACACGACGCTAGGTCACTGTCGAGCTATAGCAGTTCGTGGGAGCTACGCGATTGTCGGTCCAACATTTCTTTGCCGAGTGTCATGTCAGTATCGAGTTGCAATCGTAAAAGATCGGTCCAGAAGCGCTTACCGAAACGCGGTCTAACAGAGTGAATCCAGCACTTCGATCAAACGCGCGTGCCCGCTCGGGGTGTGAACAGGTATTTGCGTGGCTCTTGCTGACACTGTCGTAGTTCAAACATCTTTTTTAACGTCGGCTCGCAACTCACAGCCACTAATACCGGCCGTGCCAGAAGCACGCTCGGGTCGTGTCGTGCAAAGAGCCGCAACGAGAATGAGCTCACTGTGGCCAACTACACTTTGGCTGTCTCCGCCAAGGCTTTGCAAAAGCGTTCAGGCCTTGGCTAATTCTGCCGGCACGCCGAATCGCCGCAGAACGACGCTGCTCCTATGCCACAAGTGATGTCACGAGAACTTCCCACCATCCACCAGATGTGAATTTGAAATCGTTTAATTAGGTTTAAAATTAGTTCTCCTGTGTTTTACAACGCGATATTGACATTTTCGAGGTGGTGCCTGTTCCTAGCCCATATTTATGCAAAAAGATTGGCGCTAAAGTTTAGTTTCCGTACTCCTTTAAGCGGTATGCAATTACATGGAGTTCTATGGGAGGCGAACCGGTGGTTTAAAAAAGCCGCGTTATACCCGGTCCTGCACTATAAGTGGTTACGTTGTAAGTGGTCTATACTGTATCAAGGTCCTTTAATGCAATCCCTGTTTGGTTTGTTTTTAATTTATTTTTAATTCATGATGAACTTGCACAGCCTAGCCTTCATGGGTGAATTTGGGGAGATCTGGACATTTACTTTGAACACTGTTTTGGATAAGAGATAGGCAAATATAATGACACCTCTGAAGATCCATTTTGTAACTTGCAGACTTTCATAGTTGAAAAATGTTATGAAATGTCAGACTTTGATGTGTAATTGCTATACAAGGTTTGGTGCCATCACTTTTTTAAGTGGCGCATATGTTGCACGAATCTATCACTGTGCACTAAGCTTGTTTTGATCTTGCACGTTGAATTTTTTTTTTTCAATACACTCGTAGAGCGAAGCATCTTACACAGCAAGCACTCTTGTCGGTCGCACGGGGATTTCTATGAAGGTACTTTACTGTAGTAATTTCATTCAGTTTTAGAACTCTAAAACAGCGGTTCTCAAAGGGGGGTTTGCAAAGCCCTGCCTCCTCAGTCAAGCCCGGCAATAAAAGTTGTATTTTCTCAGATCCCGAAGAAATGTTTCAGCTTTTGGGCGAGTTTTTTCATGTGTACTATGTCAATAAGAGAGGTCTACTTCACATTAGCCCTTAATTATGTACATTTATTAAATCGTCACCTCTACCTTTCCTCTCCTCTCACCCCGAACGGCGTCCTTCATCCTCTCCGCCGATCCACAAGGGGTCCGCGAAACATCAATGGTTGAGAACCACTGCTCTAAAAGAATTGGCCACAGCTACATTGCATGGAAATGACTACTTTGCAATGAGGAGCAGTTACTTTGAGCACTGTGGGGAAGGAGTTGTAGACTTTTCATATTTTCTGCAGCACCACCACAAAACTTCCTTTTCAAACCTTTTGAAAAACCATATTTCATAGCCTGCCATTTGCATTTGAATCTGTCTTAGCTTTTTTCAATAACATACTAATCCTTTTACAACAGTTTTTGGTAAATTTTAAACATGGATAGCTGCTCATCTTCTTTATATTTTTAATTCTTTTTTTCGGTGCAGCATGGCGTTCTTTTTTTGTTCTTGCACCAAGAAGACCACAAATAATTTCTTCATCTTCGTCTGTAGCCCTTTGTTTTATGCAGAATGTGTTTAAAACTAGGGTTCCATAAAAAAAAAAAAAAAGTCCCCAGGAAAGTGTAACACACTAAATTTGGTGCGAAAATTCAATTGGTTGTAATTATACATTAGTAGACCCTTTTCAAAAGTCCACCGAGCAGCACTGGCGGTCGCCATTGTTCGGACATGACTCGCGTGATTGGGTCAGAGTCCTTGCCGAACGCTGACGCAGCGCTTGTTTTCAACACTAGCTGAGCCGAGTTCACGCCGAATGCTGAAGCAGGCCTCTTGTCCTTATGCGTCCTCGGAGTATGTGATCAAGCAATGGCGGACAGGCGTTGGCACGGACCTTTGAGAAGAGTCTCTTTGGGTTTCCTCATTCAATTTATTGGGGAAATGGTGCATCCCGCTGAATTTAGTGGATTTACATTTGGCAGACTTCAGCATGGCTCATCCAAAGAAAGGCTTGTAAACAACCGGCGGAGCTCAAACGGAGCTGCACATTTCATACCTCCCAACTTTATTTGTAGAACTAAGATAGATGTAAAGTTTTGGGCGTTTTTCTTACTTCGCCTTCCCGTTCTTTGTGCGTCTCAGTTTCAGAAGGTTGAGTTTTGACTGTCGGGACCGCCTTTTCCCCTGCAGTGATCCCCAAGATCACGGAGTTCCGCAATGCGACGGTGTCCGTGGGGCAGGAGGTGACGCTGGAGTGCCGGGCCCACGGGAAGCCCACCCCCGACATGAAGATCCGGCAGGACGGGACCACGCGCTTTCCCCTCGACCAAGTGAGTGCCCCTTGCAGAGACTTTGAATGTGGCACTTGCTTTTTCTTTGGAGAGACGAGTTGCTGCTTGCAGTTCTGCCGGGGCAAGGGGATTCCTTTGGAACCCTTTGAAAGCGATATGTGCTGTTTTGATATACTGTGCCATTCTGTGCAGCAACTAAGAGAAAAGTTCGAAGGAGCGCTACACTCTCCCGAAAAATCTTTTTTTTAATTGCCCGATTAGTAGAACTTAAGGCCCCGAGAAATAAAAGAAAACTATCGATGCAATAGTTGCGTCACGGTATGCGGTTTAGAGTACAGCTCTTTGGCGCCAGTCTCCGCGTATAGCGGCGTCGCCGTAACCGCCCCGCCAAATTTAGCAGGAAATTGAATAGGTGTTGAGGTCGCATGACGTCAATTTTCCCGCTAAATCTAGCGGAGAAACTGAATTTCTTTATGGGTGACGTCACACAAAGTCATGCGACGTCATTTTCCCCGCTATATTTAGCGGGGAACCTCAATTGGTGTTGAGGTCATATGGCGCCAATTTTCCGGCTAAATTTAGCGGGGAAACGGGGTGGAGGGGAGGGTACGAAGGAGGAGGATGGGAGGGTACAAAGAAGGAGGGGAGGGTATGGAGGAGGAGAGCATGCCTGCCCTTATGTACCCTCCTCCTCCTCGAGAGCTGCTCTCTAATTTAGCATCAGAGATCTGTAAACGTCTCATTTTTTTTATCCCTGTACCAGCTCAAAAATGTTTCTATAAATTGGTCAGCGTCACAGTGATGTCAAAATAGAAATCATTTTGTGAGCCTCCCATTGGCTGGAAAGAGTGCAGAGGACAGGTACACCCAGGGCCCATCTCTCCTCCGCACCTTCATCCTTCGCACTCTGAGAAAAGGTGCGAGAAAAAAGTGGACCGAGGATAGCTGCGAACCTGCCTCCCTCCACAACTCCATTTAAATTTTATGTTGTAGTATCGTACGTGGCAAATCGAAGCAGTTTCATATTTTGAAGCAAGTTTCTGCTCAAAGTTTGGTCGTGAGATAGGCTTTCCTGGACACTTGGGAAGCTTTTATATGCTGTTTTGAGCTGTGCTGCTATGCATGGTGACTGTAAGAAGGGTTAAGTGTGGGCTAGCTGGTGCCAATTTTTTTGTTTTTAGAAGTGGCTGTTTTTAGCGTGTAAAATATGCACATTTATCGTCGTTATAGAAACTCTTAGCGGAACGTCTGTTTAAAAGTGCTGGCAGTATTTGCAGGAGGCTCGTTTTGACGTCTCTTTGCTGGAAACACTCAAGACACTAAGATAAAGCCAGGGATAAGAGCAACGTCGTATCTCGCTTCATAAAGAATGTTTCTTTGAAATTCGGCATCCCTCTGAGACGAAGAATTGCAAACATTGCTTTCCGCAGGCTACCCTGGGAATTTGTGCGCTTTAGTCGCTGACAAAATGAGAACGGCGGAGCGTGTCTTTCGAACGCCAGGCCACAGCACGTGCTTTGTGCCTTCGGGAGTGCTTTGGCTGCGCATGCACGCTCGAGGCTCCCAAGGTGCCGAAGCACCATGGAGGGCCGGAAGCTCACGCCGGTGGCGAGACAGTCAAAGCTCTCTCCCCCGGTTCTCATCCTGTCGGCGACTATGCGCTTTTGGGCTTTATTTTTCTCCGTCCAGGTTAGCAGTAGGCTGTCTGGTGCATGAGCAAAAGCGAGGCTTGTTCCTGTCACTAAAGATGGGACCAGTTCTGCTGCTGCTTTGCTTGACTTTGATTTGCTTTGCTTTATGTGCTTCTGCAGATGCTTTTGCATTTATTATTTTGTTGTGCTTCGCATGCGCTTATGTGCTTGCGTGTGTTTGTGCCTTGGCCGCTAGGTGCAGGCTAGGTTGTTGCTAAGGCTGTTTTTATTGTGCCTTAAAATTTCTCTTTTAAGGAGGCGGTTTCATTTATGGCTCTTACAATAGGTAATATTCTAGATAAACGTGTCCTTAATTTTTGTTTGGGAATCTACTTTGCCCTTTTTTTACCAGACAAGATCCAAGCCCTTAGTGCTGGTTTTATGGTAAATGCTCTCCTTTGTTCAAGGTTCTAGCATAACGTAATTAAAGGCATTTTTCTTGCAAAAGAAAAAAAAAATGGCTTGGCAGAAGAGAAAAAAAAATAGCGAAGCATTTTTTGTTCTTCTTTTTGCATCAACAATCATGCCGAGGCAAATGTTCCTTTTCTTGCTTTGGAATCTTTTTAGTAGACTTTAGACCTTCATCAAATACCATTGACTGCCAATACTGGAAACTCGAGCCAAAATACATGGGGTTGTCGGGAGACACAGAAGTGCTGCCATCTCGGTGTGGGATGGTAAACTATGCGCTCGAAATTAAAAGGAAAACCATCATTCACTACACTATTTCTTCTCTTCACACTATCAGGAATTGTGAATATATGGCAAATCGGTGTGCCGATTTCAATTGAGCAAGAGCTGATACACGGTATTTCTGATAATGAGGTGCGCTTCATATTGGCACTAAGTGTTTAGATTATATAGATCTATGTATTACACCTGGTACAAATGACCTACCGGCAACTAGTGACTTTTAGTAAATTGACAGTTTATGGAGCTGCAGTGACTGGCTCTTTGCAGTTATAAATAAAGCACAGCAATTCAAATATGTAATCGCTCCATGGGTCATTATCTTAAATTGTATGAGATTCACTTCCAATGAGTCTGGAAATGCTACACTACGTAGTAATTACAGCCAGTAAATGCTACACTGGCTGTTTAACGAAAAGTCAGTATTTATAAGTAGAAATAGTGCCTGGTTCAGTTTTACCTGTCGTTTTGGGGCCTGGTTAGCCTCTAATGACCGCTATTACTATTGGATTATATTTCTGAGTTATTTGAACGAGTATAGACTAGATTGCCTTCCAAGGGCTATTAATTGCTCTGGGCCAATTTCCTAACCTATTTCGGGGCATATAGACCAAGCAGCTGTTTATTAGGTTGTTCCATTTGTGATAGACTTTAATGACCATTAGCGACCATTTCGTGATATTTGTAATGTTATGTCTCAGATTGGATTTGAATGACTATTATTTGATATTTTATTTTATTTCCTAATTATATGGTGGATTTCGGTTCCAAATGACTTTTAATGACAATCAATGACTATTTGTAACTATTTTGAGTTATTTGGTTGCGCACGGCCTGAGTTGGCTTTCAGTGGCCAACTTTGGCTTTTTGATCAAAATTTGACATGAAAGATATGTAGTTCAAATGGACTTCTAGTTACTTTTAATGACTTTTGGCCACTATTTCAGTTATTTGATCGTGTGCAGACTGAGCTGGCTTCATATGGCTATTATTGGCTATGTGATCATGTTTATAAATTATATGGCAGATATGGGGTCCAAATTTCTTCCGTGACTATCAATCACTATCGGTCACTTTTTCAACTTATTTGTTGTGTGCAGGCTGAGTTGGCTTCCAATGGCTACTATTGGCTATACATTCACATTTATAATTATATGGCAGATTTAGGGTCCGAATGACTCTAGTGATTTTCCATGATTATCAGTCCCCATTTCGAGTTATTTGATTGTGTGAAGACTGTGTTGGCTTCATATGGCTATTATTGAGTATATGGTTATATTTATAAATTATATGGCAGATTCGGAGTTCAAATGACTTATACTGACTATTGATGACTATTGGTCACAATTTTGAGTTATTTAATTGTGTGCAGGCTGAGTTGGCTTCCAATGGCTATTATTGGCTATACAATATTATTTTTTATATTTTTATGGCAGATTCGGGGTTCAAATAGCTTCTAGTGACTATCAATGGCTCTTAGTCACTATTTCGACTTACCCGATTGTGTGCAGACTGAGTTGGCCTAATATGGCTATTATTGGCTATATGATTATGTTTATAAATTATAATGTAGGCTTGGGGTTCAAATGACTTCTAGTGACTATCAATCACTATCAGTCACTAATTCGACTTATTTGATTTTATGCAGGCTCAGTTGGGGCTTCCAATGGCTACTATTGGCTATGCAATCATATTTTTTATTTCTACAGCAGATTCGGGGTCCAAATGACTTCTAGAGACTTTCAATGGCTATTAGTCACTATTTCGACTTACCTGATTGTGCGCAGACTGATTTGGCTTCATATGGCTATTATTGGCTATATTATCATGTTTATAAATTCTATGGCAAATTTGGGGTCCAAATCACTCCTAGTGACTATCAATGATCAGTCACTATTTCGACTTATTTGATCTTATGCAGGCTGAGTTGGCTTCCAATGGCTATTATTGGCTATATGCATCTGTTATTGACCTGGTTGGCTCGAATTGCCAAAAAATGGTTATTACTGGTTATTGGTCACAATATTCTGCTATTCTATACCTATGAATGAAAATGGCTTCAAGTGGCTATTGTTAGCCAATTGCACATCACCTTAACAATATCACCTTAAATTGCTTCAGAATGAACATTGGTGACATTTAGCGACATAGTATTCATGATGTTTTGAATGTGAATGGATTCAAGTGTACTATTATTGGCTATGGGCAGTTCTTGGCCAAATCGGATTGAAATGGCTATACATGTCTATCAGCGACTATTATTGGCAATTTATGCAATTGGAGTGTGTATAGATTTGAATGACTTCAACTGGATAGTATTGGCTATAGGCATCTATTCTTGACTTGGTTGGCTTGGATTGGCTATTATTGGCTATAATCCTGTTCCTGACTTGGGTGGCTTGCATTGGCTACAAATGGCTTAAAGTGGCTAGTATTTATAATTAGCAGCTATTTCTTTGTCCATAAACTGAAATGGCTTCATGTGGCTAGTTTTGGCTATTACCATATATTTTTACCAGACTGGCTTCAAATGGCTATGAATGGCTATTCGTGGATATGGTTGACATATCTATGCCATTTCAGTGACTATGACTGAAAATGACTTCAAATGGCTATTATTGGCTATTAGCATGTATTTTGTTAGATTGGCTTAAAATG